GGGCCGCGGCCGCCCGGCTGAGCAGGGGGAGCTGCCGCACCCACCCATGGGAGCGTCTTCAGTGGACTTATCGCTGTCGCTGTCCGAGCTGGAGCTGGGGCGCGGGCTTCGCCCTCGCTTCCTCTGCCGCTGGGAGGACCCCATTATTGGGAGCTGGGGGGGCCCAATGGGGCTGTTCCCGTGCCCGGGAGCGATCTGGCTGTCTCGATTCTTTGGGGGGCGTCCTGGACGTTTTGGAGGGCCTGCAGTTTTAGGGTTCTTCTTGGAGAAGAGCACTGAGGTCCTCCTGCCAACTTCATGTGCCGGGGTGGAAGAAGAATTGGGACCCAGACCTGGAAGAGGGAGGAGAAGGTGTCAGCTGCAGCTGGCAGGGACCGCACGGCAGCGGCATCAAGGAACAGCTTCATTTCTCGGGAACGTTGTCTCAGAAGATCCTCCATCCTGAGCTTTGCCATTCCTGTGCCCTCAGCGTCAAACTATCCAGTCTGCTGGCAGCAAAAGCTAGATGGGGACATCAAAGAACACTCCACCAGCCAGGTATGCCCTCCTTTCTCCCAGGCAGCACCTCACAGAAACAGAAGTCAAGAGCAGGCAAGCAGGACTAAACCTCTCCCACGACACGCAGCAGCTGAGAAGCTCCACTGCACCCTTGAAAGACAAAGGCCCTAAAACGCCCCCAGCTCGCGGAACGGCCTGCTTTTCCCGGTGCTTAGGGGGGCAGGACTGGGATGCAGAGGTGGCAAACCCCGGTGACACCTAGCAGTCCCTCCTGGTGCTTTTGCTGTGCTCCCCACGGAGCCCAGCTCAGCACCTCTGTCCAGGAGGCCAAGGAGCTGGTGGCTGGCCCACGTTTGGCTCCCAGCCCCGGGAGGGCGTTTGGAGCTCGGCAGTCGGTGCTGCTGCAACTCCCTCCCGTGCCCCCAAGCAGGACGGGACGCTGAAGGCAGCCTGCTCCCTAACGCCCCTACAGAAGGCAGCGTGGCAGAGCTGGCAGGAGGAAACAATCCATCTCACGCCCCACATCACACAGCTGGGACTCTCACGGCAAAGCACTCGGTCTCTGGAACGACATCCAGCTCCTCGGCCGCACGGGAGGCGAGCTCACCGGGTGAATGCTGACCGCAGCTGCGAACACCAGCGCCCTGCCGACTCTCCCCAGAGGCAAACGCACACCAGGCTGCAGCTGTTCCAGACGCAGGAGGTGGCCTCCTTCGGCTGCCAATCCCACCTGCTTGGCTGGTACGGCTCACTACCAACTACCCAGTGGGGTACTGTCCTCGGACGGGCACGCAGGCAGGGAGCCCGGGGAGGCGCAGACGTTGTACTCCGCACCCACCCCTACCTACGGGAGGCACTACGGGAAACGAGGAACCCTCTCAGGGGAATGGGAGATAAGGGACTGCCCCCCGAGAGGCCATCTGCCCTGCTCCTGAGGAGGAGCGAAGAGCGAGGTGTGTGCGGGGAGCTGCCCGCACAGCCCTCCTGCCTCGGGAGGTGCCTGGCAGGGCGGCCCCCCCCCCAGCCAGCCTGTCCAGAGGTGATTCTCCACCGCTCCCCAAAACCAGCAGTATTCTGGAGGGACCAGTACCTTTGCCAGTCTCCTGGCTGCTGCTCTCTTCTGCAGCGCTGTCTGTCTGCAGGTCCTTCTCGCAGGGGTTGTGCGACTGCAGGACTCCCCTGGCAGAGGAGCCGTGCCGCTCCAGCCCGTCTCGGCCCAGGTCCCGTGGGTGAGCGAGTTTCCGCCGTAGGACTGTGATCTCCTTCTTGATCATCTTGGCCCGGCGGGACCGTCCTATGCTCTGCTTGCCAGCATTGACCTCATCCAGCCGCTCCAGCAGGATCTTCAGCTGCTCCTCCAAGGGCAGGTGCTTCTGATTCTCCGAGAGCAGCAGCCGCACATCTTCTGGGGGAACAAAGGGGAGCAGATGGATGAAAAAAAACGGGAACTCTTTGGAGCTCCTCTACGTGAAAGGGCATGGGGCAATCCAGGTTCCCCACAGAAGGGAACCAGCTGACACGGTACCAAACACCTGCAAACACGGGAAGTTACCCTAAAAGACCTGGAGAAGGAGCCCTGGGGGAAGCAAGCCAGTTGGGACTGCTGGGGAAGGCAGGCCGAGCAGCAGCTTGGCGAATACCAGGGTTCCCATCGGCTGGGGCAAGGACACAGCAGGAAAAAGAAAGGGGGTTGTAACAGGAAAAACAAGAGTCAAAGGGATCCTGAAGCATTACAGAGCAGGGAAGTTCCCCTCACTGAGCCCATCCCATGCTGGAGCAGGGAGAGGGGGACCCTGAAAGATCCTTCTCTGACAAGCTCTTCCTGGCGGTGCTCCCCACTGCCCAGCAGAGACAAGCAGATCTACAACCACGGAGCCAGTGAGGTCTGGTTGAGGGGTATCAGGAGCTGTGTGGCAGCCAGCAAAGCCCACAGCTGGGGAGAGAGGGGGGAGCATACAGCTCTGACCAGGGGGAGTCAGTCCTTCTAGCCGGGCAGCACAGCAGGAGCCTCAGCAGCTCACGGCCAGTGCTGGGGACGGGGCGAGTGATGGTACCCGCGTCCCAGGCAGCCCCCTGCTCTGACCAAGAGGATGAGGGACCGAGGGACTGGCAGGACACACAAGCCACTGCCTAGAACCAACCTAATGGGGCCGATAGGCACCTGGCTAGCAAAGCCCCCACCTCTCTGGGGAGTGGGCACACACCGCCCAGGCATCCAACTGAACCTCCCGCGGGAGGCAGCTCCAACAGTCTCCCAGGTGCCCTGACTCTGCCCAGGCTTTTCCTCCGAGCAGCCCTCGTACCCCGGGACAGGGTATGAGCACCCACCGTCCTCGATGTCTTGGACCTGAGCCTCTTCCACCGTTACACAGTGGGGGAAGTGCATGCCTGTCTCAAAGTCAATGCCCATCTTCTCCGCCTGCCGGCGAGCCTGCCGGAGAACGGCGCCTCCTTGCTCCCGCAGGCGGATGGCTGCCCGGTAGAAGATTGTGTCTTTGGCATTGTATTTCAAACAGTTGTTGATGATCAGGTTGAAATCCTCCTCAAAGTCGTCAAAATTCAGATAGCGATAGGCTTCCAGGTTTTGTTTCATTGTCTGAAAATCCATCGGCTTCTTGATGTGATCCAGGTAGTCTGGGACCTGCATGAAGAAAGAGCCAGAGCTAAGAGCCCGGGAGCCATCAGTTAGCATTACCTGCTCCAAGAAAACAGTCGTTAGAGGAATCAGGTATCGCTCCCTGCGTTCTGCCCAAATGCACATCGGGGAATGCCGTCTGCTTTTGCAGCTTGAGGAACAGTAACGCCTCCGGACTAGGGAGCCCATGTGCTGTACTCAACATGTTAGAGCAGATACGCACTCTGAAGCATTTTTAAGGCTCCAGCGCACATGCCAGCATCCCGTCCTCTCCTCCTGTCTGCGGGCAGCTGGGATCCAGAACGCTACACGGCATTCCCCAGGGGAGGAAGCCACAAGCGCAGCCCCCGGGGGCGAGGCTGAGTGCAGACAAGTAAAACAGAACCGTCCAGGCAGCAGCAATGGCTGCAGGTGGGACCGTGCGGCCTTCCTCCCCACCGCTGTCAAGACATCTCCATGCCGACCTGCTGCCAGAGCCGTGCAGAGCCAGCACGGCCTTTCCCCACCTCCCCAGGCGGGCACTAGGTGACGGTCTCAGGAATCATTTCCCTTGCCCCCAGCAGTGACAGTCTGGGGGTCAAACCCGTTTCTGTGCTGTGCTCAGTCTGTCGCCTAGCAGGGGCCTTCACGGGAGGACAGGTAAGAGCGTGCCGCCTGCCAAGGGCCGGCATTCTGCCTTTCCCAGCGGGGATCCCCAACCGCTCACAGACACTGGGGAGTCACCAGCAACACGCGCAGAGAAAGAGCCGAGTGCTGTGCTCCTGGCCGGCACCAGCTCAGCTGTTCCGCATTCAGCTCGCCCGGGAGGGGCATCGCTGCACAGCCCCCTTGGGTGAGTGGTGCTGGGATGCGCGAGCCAGCACCAGGCTGCCCGGGGGAGCTTCCGGACCAGAGAGCACCCGGGGCAGCCCTTGGCACGAGCAAGGGACAAGTTTGAGTGAAGTAGAAATCTGGGGGAGGGGGTTCTTACTTCGTAGATTTCTGTTACCTCAGACAGAGGGACCGGCTCGCTGAAGATGTTGCCCGTGTCTTTCTCCTGCAGCTGTTCAAGCGTCTTGCGGAGGAGGATGAGGAAGGGGGTCAGCTGCATTTCCAGTGCCACCTGCTGCACTTTGATCTGAAACAGAAGAACAGAGCGGGGCTGAGACCCCTGCCCGGCAGCGGGGACAGTCCCCAGGGAGCAGCACTGCAGTCCTGCAGGACAGCGACACCTCTCCTGGCGCGAGGGGCAGGGACTGCACCTCACCCCCGTCTCTGGGGAGCAGAGGTGAAACACCAGCTCCAGCACCTGCGCGTGCCACCTCAGCCTTGCAGAACAGCCACCTTTGCTCAGAGCCGCTGGGGCAGGGCGCAGCACGGCCGAGGGGACCCCGGCACATGCCCTACAGCACTCTAAAGAGCCCATGCTCATGCCCACCCCAGCAGCTCCCCAAGGAGGGGCAAACGATCGTTACCGTCTCTCTCTTGAGCTTCTCCCGCTTGCGTATCAGCTCCACCAGCAAGCGTGCACGCTCTAGGTCATGGCGGAGGCGCTGCCATGACTTCAGCTGCTCCTTCAGGGCCCAGTTCTTATCCTCAGTGTCTCTCTGCGGGAATATCAGAGACCATGAGCTGATAGGAGATGTGTTCCCATCCCCACCTTCCTGACTGTGTGCTGGGGCTCTTCCCTGGCAAAGGGAACCGGCACGCCTGACCCGCTGGTTCAGCGAAGGTCCTGGTTCCCTTGTTGTAACCAAGGCGGGTGACTCAGAAACAGTCCGACCTCTGGCCAGAGCTGAATACCTGCTCCTTGGTCAGCAAGCCCTTAGGATGCCAGGAGGTGGACATCCCGAGCCTCTGGAAATACTCTTCCTAACATGACCGACTACCTGCAGCTGCCCAAGAGCACAGATCAACACCACCAGGGTCTGTGCTGCTGCTCAGAGCTCCAGCAAAGGGCAAAAAAGGAACACGGCTCTGGTTGCTTTCACTTCTGGAGCACCAAAAAATGCCAACTTTTATTCTGCCGTAGCCAAAGATGAGCAGAAGCAGTCTCAACTCTTCTCCAGCAAATAAAAATGAGAGGGAGCAAAGGCAGGAAAAAACCCTGCCCGGCCACAGTCCTCAAAGGGCTCAGAAAGAAAGATTTAGAGCTCAGACAGGGAGCCAGACGAAAAATCTTCCTCTCTGGCACCAGAGACTTCACATCTGTGAAGTGCTGACTAAGGGCTGAGGCAGACAGCGGGCTGGAAGCAGCACCCACAGGGAGCGCTCCTGGAGTGGTTTCAGAAACTGGAAGCGAGGCCTTGGTTCCTTCCAGACTGTTTCTGGAACCTCCAGCCACCTCTCTCGACACTCGCTGACACAGCAGCCTCAGACTAGAGCCATTTCTGACAGCTTTGCCGCCGCCACCGGCTAAATGTGGGCACGAGGAAGGAGCTAACTTCTGCGCGGCAGCGTGAGAGGGCAGGATTCCCTTCCCATGGCAGGCTGCCAACGGCGTCGC